GGGGCGGGCGCGCGGCGGCGGCGCTGAGGCGGCCCTGAGGGCACCGCGAGCGGACAGCGCACAGGCGGCTCCGAGGGGACGCGCAACGGACTCGGAGACGGCTCAGAGTGGACGCGGGGACCATGGCGGACTGCGAGGAGGGGTACCCGCCCAAGGCCCGGCGGGTGGCAGGTATCCGCCGCAGGGGGAGCGGGGAGGGAGCTGTCCCCAAACGGCCCSGCAGCGGTCGCTCCTCGCGGGCTCCGCGCACGCGGCGCCTTGGAGTCTCTCTCTCTCTCCCTCTCCCCCCGCTTTTTGTTTCGCTTTTAATGATTGCTTTATTTAGTCTCGGAGAAAAGTTTAAAGATGCTTGACCGAAGTTAAGCCCGCGGGAGGATCGAGGAGCGTTCGTGCCTCSCTCCCCTCAGCCCCGGCTGCCGAGGGGTCAGCGGCGGCTCCGGAGCGAACACAGCCCCGGCTGACGGGGGATGCAGCCCATTGCCCAGGAAAACGGGGGGCTGACCCTGCTGCCCCGTTGGGTAACGGAGACAAAGGTGGTGRTGCTTGGCAAGTCCTCGCACCGCCCTTGGGAACGTGTCGGAACATCACCACGAGCTGCCCCGGTGGCGAAACTCGGCTGGGATTTTGGTGTGTGGTTTCCTTTCGTGTGCGGTAACTTGGMTCATAAAGGGGGAAACTACGCAAATAATGACAAGCAGAGTCAACAGAAGTAATCTTCGGGGTGCTGCACCAGTAAACGAGAACAAAGAGCATTTGGGGATTGGTTTTTGACACTACTGTGGCTTTTGACCACAGCCAAATCCTCTGTAGGTGTGACTGGAGGAAGTTATCAAAGTCCTGAAGTTTGAAATGAGTTGGAAAATTTCTTGATACCATCATTGAATTGGGTTTTGTCCTTGCAGTTAGTAGGTGTGAGTGTGACGTGGGCCAGGATATTTTAGAGATGATGCTCTGAGATAGCACAACTGACAGTTTCACTTACTGGAAACTGGTGTGTTTTCCTGTTAACTTCCATTGTTCAGGAACAGGCAACGGAAAAGTCATGATTTATTTTATGCTTTTCTCGTTTGCAACTGGAGAAGGAAATGTATTTATAAGATWGCTTTGTGTATGAAGCCTTTGGCTGGGTAATTTGAGTTGTCGTATAAATAACTGTGAATCTCTTTGGGCCTCATGCCCAATGGCACATGCTGGTTCTGGTATCCTTGGAGAGGATCTGCATTTCATGCTATAACTATGTTAGTTATTAATACCTYGCCATGGTCACTTTGATGTCAGTCTTGTCTCTGAAAACCTTTCCTGAACATGCTGCTGWTGTGGTGTCTCCTGCAGCTCTTGTGTGATCACAGTAAAGTACGGAGTAAATGGCATTAGACATAGTTTTGGTTATTAGACGTTGTAATTTTGACTGTTTCCCATGTGAAGTGCTCTGAGAAGCATCTGTGAAGACATCCAGCTCTTGTTGAAATAAGCATTTTGTTTTCAATAAGGGCACATTTTTGCTGTTTGACAGTGATGTGCTTGTTTGGATTGTGGAGTCTTTGCAGAAGGAAAYAAATCAAAATGATGCATGTGCCACACCTCAAGCTGTAGTGAGAACTTTCCCCTCCCATCTTAGCCTGCAGCACTAAGTGTGTATTATAAATTCTTAATACTGTTTGATGATCCAAGTGATAATTTCTTGCTAAAGTAACGGTAACTGTTCCAGCCAGCCTTAAAGGCATTAAAGGCTGATTCGATTAAGTTTTTTATTTTTTTAATAGTGTTTCTCCTTGTGGTTTATTGCTTAAAGAGGTTGCTCAAGAACTTTCGCTTTTTTTTTATTGCCTGTGATTTGTCCACCACAGCAGGCTATAAATCCAAGGTGTGGGCTTGCCTGCTTTTTAGCTCAGGAGAAAATTCCAGTGGCATGTTTAGGGATACTGTCAGCCAACATTTATTGTGGGGTAAAGTCTTTTCTTCAACCCATGGGGTRGACAGGGATAGGAATCACCTGCAGGAGCCACAGTGCTCCCTCTGCACCACCTCTGTCAGTCCCACTTGAGTGCTTGGAACAGGATGCTCCCAGGATCCAGTGTCAATGAGCCTCACTGAGGAATCAGKGATGAAATTATCCAAGTGCCATGATGAGATGGTTCTCAAAACTGGCTCATTCCACAAATGCCAAGCTTGTTTCCCATATTTCGTATAGTTTTGTGCAAGACAGCACCTCTGTCCCCTCTTGTGTTGTGAAAATCAACACATTGTGGGTATATAAAGCATCCATTTGCTCAGTCTTGAAATTTTACATCATCTGAGGTGTGACTTCTACAGAAATTCAATATCTCCGGAGTAGGAATGCGATATTTGTGAGTGCTGAGTGTCACCCTTGGACATCCCTGCTTGGCAGCAGGCACTTGGCACTCCATCAGAATCTTAGCAGGCAAGATAAGAAACTTCCTGTAGCTCTGGGAATGCCTCCCAGTCCACATTTTGTCATGGAGCATGGCTGGCTTTAGTTGGGTAGCATTTGAAACCACCAAGTCGTTATTTGATCCCAGAGATACCTTCAGTTGGTGTCTTCTCCTGACAGAGAAATAAGGCATGAGSAGTTTCTGGCCAAGAAATTCTTTATGAAGACTTTATTCCGCATCCATCTAATCTTGTACCACATCTTACCCAACTTCCCAGATCCAACAGGTCTGGAATCGTGATTTTTTCTTAGACAGCTGGAACAGAAACCAAATTCTAACAATGCTGTCCCAGAGGTGGCAGGCTGTGGGGTATTTGCATTTTACTCCTTAAGCGAGTGTTCCTCCGACTTCTCAGAAAACAAAAGAACAGGATTTCCACTGCTGCCTGTTAGTCACTGCTAGAAAAACTAGAGGAGGAGGAGGAAGGCATTTGAGAATCAGTACTTAAATGCTGGTATACTTTTGCATAAATGTTGCTTGGACAGCATTCTGTCCTCAGCTGTCTTGCACAACTTAGAGACACTGGTGAAAATCAAAGCAGAGTGTGGCTTTTAATTTSCCTTCTGATTTAAACCTAATGCATTTAGCCAGAGGAGTAGTGCTATTCAAGGAMTATTCAACATAAATATCCAATTTAGGCACTTTAACAGGCACTCTGGGGTTTAAAAATGTAAACATTTCTTCTCTTTTGTAGATGAGGCTGAAGAGGGCCTCGGTCTGTGTGGATGGATCCTGGTGGTCGTTTCGCTTATTTTCACTGTTCTTACTTTTCCTATCTCAATCTGGCTGTGCATAAAGGTAAAGTTGCTCACTGCTAAGTTGGATTAAAATTTTAAGCAATGCAGAGTGGTTATTATTGTTCTCAATTGGATTTACTTGTTCTAACACAAATTAATCCAACTCTGTTCTTGAGCTACAGCAGGCAGTAGATAGCAGACCCCAGCACTTCAGTGCATTCATCTTCAAACCAAAAATAAAAGTGCTATTACCATATCTGGTCAAAATGATTCCTGCACTGACGTCTTTACTACGTCTGCCCAGTTGTCATTAGTAAATAAACTCATTTGGACGATCAGAATAATTGCAAGAGCCCATAGCTACTCTTAGAGAACTTTTTTTTTAAGATCTCTCCCTGTATATCACATATCTAAATATGAAGAATGTAAATATAAATCTGTAACTATGTACATAGATGTGGCTGTATGTTTTCAGTTTCCAGACAGGAGGAGTTATTTTTTGCTGGTTTGGCTGATGTGTGGCATCAGAATTGGAGCTGGAAAAATCCCTGCTGGGTCACAGACACAGCACTTTGTTGTGTTGTTGCCAGGATATTCCTGATGGCTCCTGCTGGTGCCCTTCTATTGAGAGTCTGAGCAATATTTCTTRTGGACTATTGTCCTAATTTTTCCTTTTGCTCTTTGCTTTCTGACAATAAAGTTTAGGCTAAAATTCTCAAAAGCAGCCCAGTAGAGAAATGTGTGTTAAATTTGAGAATCAAGGCTGTCTTAGACTGGTGTGTGCATAATTTGGAATGCATCATGTGATCTCTGGAAACCTGTGCATCACATGCAATGATTTGTTCCAGATTATCAAGGAATACGAGCGAGCCATTATCTTCAGACTTGGACGCATCTTAAAAGGGGGAGCAAAGGGACCAGGTATGTCCTGACAGCAATTTGTTCTAATTAGTCATCAGCAAAACAATAATTGTGTAGAGAGACATTGCATTAAAGTGGCAAATGGATTTCTCAAGAATTTTGTAACTTCCAGTAAGAGGATGTRTTACAACAGGAATTGGACTTGATGAGCCTCGTGGGCCTCTTCCAGCTCAGAATGTTCTGATTCATACTGTGGATAGAGAAGACAGCAAACTTAATTTTTCCCAGCTCTCCTTTGTTCTGCTGCAGGCCGAATCAAAAGCACTAAATGTAAAGGCAGGAATAATGCCATCAAATGGGTTGTTTGAAAAAAACAATTKCATGTATCGGTTAAACCCAATAAGTCTGAAACCCTTGATATCCTCCAAAAGTACCAGAAGGCAGTAGAGTATTGGATAGTTTTGAGAAGTTGCCTGTGTATATTAGAAACTCTGAGACCTGGAACTGTTATTTTCAGCTGTTGCTCCTGCTGCTCACAGTGACAGAAAGGGGCAATGGCTTCACTTTCAGCCAGGCTTTGAAAGTCTTACCTTGGTTTGAAATCATTAACAAGTGTTGTGGTGCTGAGCTCCTTGTAAAGAGTTGCACAGCCACAACAGTTGGATTTCAGCTTATTGCAGTAACAAGTTTTCAYCTGCTTGAATGACCCATTTTCACATCTTCTTGAATGGATTTTTTGGCACAGGTTTGTTTTTTGTCCTGCCTTGCACAGACAGCTTCATCAAAGTTGATATGAGAACCATCTCTTTTGATATCCCTCCCCAGGAGGTGAGTGTGCATTTGYCTTTGCATCTACTAAAGAACTTGGGGAATTCTGTGCACTTTGTTTTTCCTTCTCYCCTCTCAGTATTGGGTAACATATAGTTTAAATACAGATTTCTTGTGCAGGTGCAATGCATTGTGAAGAATACATAAATCCTTTAGAAATGTCAGCCAGTAAGAGAAGAGCACTGAAAGCAAACAGATGATGCTCTGAGGATCAAATGAGATAATTGAGTAGTGCCTGAGAGCTGGGAAGGGAGGGGTTTGGAAYGAAGGCTGCTGGGCTTCATACAACATTCCCTAATTGCTTCTGTGAAATCTGGAAGATTTCCAGGCGCAGCAGTGATCTGTGCTGTGCCAATTTATCTACATGTATAAACTAGCTCAAGTAATGWGATGAAATTGGTATATATATCAAGCTCTATTTATAGCAACTTGGGCAATGAGTGGTCAGCTCCCTTAGCTGGGTTTGTGTGCACGTGAAACAATTTGGTTTGTTCCTGCCCTGCACAGGAACATGAAGAAGTTGGTACCACTCGTGGCAGGTCCTAAAGAACACAAAAATTCCTTTGATTTCTAGTCTGATTTTCCTTGGACATCCTAATTTTGTAGCAGAACATTATAAGAACATTAACCCAGCTGAACTCAGTGCTGCCAACTTGATGGATAACAAAAGAATAAAAACCAACCGTCCCTCTAAAAATAAGTTAGTGAACAATTGTATCTTTATGGTTATAACTGTGTCCCTCATGTATGTGGTGYATTCTGCAAGGCAGAAATGCTTCATGCAACTTGTCTCGTGCATCTGTTTCCTGTCAGATCTGCTCGTGGGTTTGCTGCTCATCCTTAGCTGCAGATTGAGACAAATGGCAGCTGTCCTGGTACACTGTAAAGGGTAATTGGGAGAAACCTAATCACTGGCAGGCAGAATGTGCTTGCAGCTGCTGCTGTGCCATTAGTGAGGCCATCAGTAATCGGGTTTTTCTTTTGACTTGATGAAATTACRCTTATGGATTTAGGTTTGTTTGTGTTCCGTAGGTAGAGGTAGAAATCCATTTTTATTTGTACAACATGATTTCTATGCCTGTTACTCATTCTTTAGCTTTTGTGTTAAGAAAAGCTTGCTAAAAGAGGTGGTTTGGACAGGGACAGAGCAGGTGACTCTTGAAGGCTGAGTAACTCACACATCCATCTCTCCTGTCAAATAACTCAACAGTAATTGTGTAACATGGAATGAGGGCAGCTCTGGGCATGGCCCCAGTTCTCTGGCTCCCCTGTGCAGTGCCACCCTTCTGTCCCAGGGCTCTGCAGTTCTGCAGCACAGTCCCCATGGCCCTGCTGTCAGGCTGCCTCTTACACAGCCCTGTTTATGACAGCACTGAAAGGCAGCACAGGGACCAACCTGGCTGTGATTTCTTGCCAAAATCACTGGTTAAACTTTCCCAGGGGAAGACGTATTTCAGGGTAAATAATTTCGGCTTTTTTTCTTTTTCCTGTCACTGATATGACTTTAAGATCCCTCTGAATTTGAGGAAGTAAGTTAAAAATAACATTATGGCAAAGCTAATGGAATGCATTTTTCACTGAGAAGTTTCTAAACCCATATTTAGTCTCAGCTTTGCAAAGCTCTGCTGGGAGGTTGATGAACACTGGGACATGTTTACATGCTGCATAATGTGTATAAGGACTTGTTTTCAARACAGAGGAAAACCATGACTTGGTGTAGTAAAACAAATATGTGATTGTCATAATAATTAACCCTGTATTTATTTAATATTCTGTACTTTCCCCATTGCTTTTCAGATCCTGACCAAGGACTCGGTGACAGTGAACGTGGATGGAGTGGTTTATTACAGGGTGCAGAATGCCACTCTGGCTGTGGCAAACATCACCAACGCCGACTCAGCCACCCGGCTGCTGGCACAGACCACCCTGAGGAATGTTCTGGGCACCAAAAACCTGTCTGAGATCCTCTCTGATCGTGAGGAAATTGCACACAGCATGCAGGTAGGAGCAGCTTTAGGCAATCCATCAAACAGCAGGTTAAGCAGCAATCCCATGGATAACTTAAAGGTGTGGATTTATTTCACCTCTTAATGATAAGTTGTGATTTGGAGCAGTAGGCAAAGCCAAGATCTCTGGGGAGGGCACTCTGTGAAATAAAAATGAGGGACTAAAGCACTAATGGACAGTGGGGCTAGCAAGTGGGAATGAGGAATACAGGAGAGAAAGGTTCCCTGGATCCTTGTGTCAGTACGTCACTATCGAAGGAAAATGGGCCACAGAATTCCTTCAATATATTAATCAAGCTCTGGGGATTTTTGTTAGTTTAAAACAAATATGCTCTTATAGCTATCAGATCAAAATTCAAACACTAAAGCCCTGAAAGTTTGAGAGTTTGAAGAGAATTCATTTGTTTTTTTGGTCATTCTTCAACGTTGGGCATTACTGTGAGCCAGATGTGTGCCTTCACTTACCTGTCCTGCCTTCTATAGCTCACACTTGATGAGGCAACAGACGATTGGGGCATTAAGGTGGAGCGTGTGGAGATCAAGGATGTGAAGTTACCTGTGCAGCTGCAGAGAGCCATGGCTGCAGAAGCAGAGGCTGCCCGGGAGGCGAGAGCCAAGGTAATGACATCAGCCTGGGGGCTGGATTTGGTTTTTCCCCAGTAAGAAATACACCWTTCCCTCTCAAGCCCTTGCAGATACAAAAAAAGAACAACTTGAAGGAGAAAGTATTTTCAGGTATGTGCAGGGAGTGCCTCTGGTTTCGAGAGGCAGTGCTGGAAGAAGCACAAAAGCTTTTGAAGGTAGAATAAATAATTCCATTGCATTCTCAAGACCTGATGCCAGCTTTTGTGATCTGGCATTCTGGGTGGGAGGGAAGCAGGCATTGGACCTGGAGTGCAAACAGAAGTGGCTTGTGCAGGTCACTTACCAGAGTGCTGGGCAGTGGTTTTGGTGGATTCCCCATTCCTCCTGCAGGATGATTTCACTGTGGCTCGTTTTGCCTACCCAGGTGATCGCGGCCGAGGGGGAAATGAACGCCTCCAGGGCCCTGAAGGAGGCGGCCATGGTGATCACAGAGTCTCCTGCTGCTCTCCAGCTCCGGTACCTGCAGACCTTGACCACCATTGCTGCRGAGAAGAATTCCACCATCGTCTTCCCCCTGCCCATAAACATCCTGCAGGGCCTCCTAGGTTTGAAAGATTAGGAACGGTGGGAGGGGTGAGCTCAGGGTCAGCCCGTTTGCAGCACTGATGTCCCTGTGTAGTGTAGCTTGTGGCGGTGTTAGCAAAGTTGGTTTGCTGAGGAACCTTTTTGTTTTACTGAGTGTGTTATAGAATTTGTATGTAACGTTTGTGAATGTGGACAATCACAATATTTGAAGCTGAAAACCTCTCAGAAGGAGTACAAGCAGGTTGTGCATCCCATCCTGGATGGGACATCCAAAACCTCCTTTTCAAGTGGTATAAAAAACCAGTTTTGGTAGAGGTGATCCAACATKTGGAATTATTCATTCTACAAAATGCGTCTGTAGCCCTGCAAGGGAAGTGGAATATTGTCCTGGAGACTCCTCATGCTCCCATTCATGAGAAACAGTTGTTAGTGGCACTTTCTGCCTGTTCTGCCACCCAGGAATGGCACAAACACGCCGTAGTTATGGATACAACGTGCTTGTGGTCACTGATGGGCTGCTGCTGTTACGGGGCTGTGTCTGTATACAGTTATGCTGCTTTAAAGCACTGAAAAGGCTCTGCCTSTATCTGTTTCTCCTAAAAAAAAATTTAAAAACCAAAGTACTTCATTTCAACCAAGTCTAAAACCTTATTTCTCTAGGAAATAAGATGCCTGTAACTAGCAGGGAGGGGTGGTATTTAACAGATGCTTCACTGTTGCTTTGCCTGTTGGGTGCTGTTCCATGCAGACCTGGAGTAGTTGTGTCAGTGAGGGCTTACACTTCATCCCCAAAGCAGGTGAGGCCAGCTCACATAACCCARGCTGTTAAACTTCCTTTTGTAAATAGAATTACAGATTCAAATGACAACAAGTGGATTCTGCAGGAGGGGAGGCTCTTCAGGCTGCCACCAGCACTGAGTCTGGCGTCTTTAAATTCTGAGAGGTGGCAATGAAACTGAAAAGCCAAGATCAGTGCCCTTCTCCCACTGGCCAGTATAAACTCCAGAAGTTGTTTTTTCTGCCCTTTCTTCTCCAATGGGTTCTGTATTTACAGGTGTTTTAGGCCTGGTTACCTGTGCCTCCACACGCTGTGCCTTTGTCACCGGTAGGAGATGCTCAAGTACTGTTCATGTTGTGCCTGTTTGCTGGGCAGGTTTCCCTCTGCTTCACCAAGGCAATATACTCTGTGTTTGGCAGTGTGGCAGCTCATGTAAGCTGAGCTTAACATTTGGCTGGGAGGGGAGAATCAGCCAACAAAGCTGGAATAATGAGCAYTGCTGTGCTCAGGCACTTGGAGCGGTGAACAGGGAACTGCACAGCTCCAGGTTAATCYTTAGGGAAGATGAGTCACTGGAACTCCCGCTGCTGCTGCTGCAGGTGCCACCCCTGTGAAKTCTTGTTGACACCACAAGATGCTTTTTGCTCTCATCCTGAATAAAAACATGCAGTTTACTAATAAGTGACTTTCTGAAAGGGTAAAATATTGTTTATCAGGGTCTCAATGCTTTTAACTCTGAAAAGAGGAAAGCAAAGCAGTCCCAAACTCCTCAAAATAATTTCTGTAACCATTTAGTAAAAAGTCTATGTGCAAAAGATAGCACAAAGGTTTTTTTTTTCTAAGGTGTGTTCAAATGTGGTATGTACAGCTGCTGTTTCATATTTTCTTCTTTGTAACAAACCCACCATTTCTGTTCTTCCCATATTTCATACAAGCTTTATTGTATTAAATATAATCAAAGCAAGGAGTAGGGTCAATGACTGGTCGTGATTGTTTTCGGAAATTATTGCACAGCTAATTGGCTATTAACATCATTCCCTCGTTAACATACATCCTGCAGGAGGAAGGAGCTCTTKAAGGCATTGAAGGCACTGAACTTGCTCTGTTTCAAACACATTCCTCACACATCCACATCTGCCATGGCTCTCTGCAGRGGATCCACAGCCCAGTAGTCATCATCCCAGCCCAGGAACCAACCGGAGAAGGTGGGGGGCTCAAAGCCCTGTTTGACGATGGTCACGGGGGTYCTCTTGTCCCGGGTGGACGGGTCTGTGTCAATGTAGCGCTTGGCTGGGGACACAGAGGGAATCTCACTGAGCACCAGGACTGCACTGCAGCACCTCAACTGGGGCTGAGTGGCTGTGACAGAGGCAGCTTCACATTGTCCATTTTAACAAACCCACCCAGTAGGGTTTAACCTACGCCTGTTAAACATAAATTACCCGTGTCATGATCAGACAGTGGGAAAATGAGAAAGGGATAGTTCAGAGAGGAAAATGTGACATTACCAGATTTCAGTGCCTCAGTCTTTTCTTCTTCTTGGGCATCTTTCCCAATCCATACAAAGACCTAAAGAAAAAAATATGCATATTAAAAATAYGCATATTTCAGCAACAAGCAATCTSTTTATGAAGGGATAATTTAGATGAAGTCTCAGTGAACCGAGTGYGACACAAACCAGAACATCCTTGTGTTGGCGTGCCTGAGTTGTTGACCAACATGACCAAAGCTATTGGTCAATAATGAGAATTTTTTGCCTGAATTTTATCTAAATGAATTGTAGATCCTTGAACAAATTCTACACTAGTTAACAACAGGAGAAATGTTTGAAAATTTTTCTATAAAATGTAAAAATTCATTTCTGAGTTGCCTTGTGGCTGCTGTGTTCTGAATCTATARTACAACAGCACTTCTGGCTATTGTGATTTAGATTCTGATCTACAGCCAGTCTGTGCCCATCCTTTGCTCCTCTTGTCCCCCTGTAAATGTGACACACCTGATCCCATGTGTCGAGGAGCATCACATCATCTGTGGCAAGGTCATCCTGAGTCAGATCTCCAGGGACTTCTTCAATCTGGAAAAAAGAGGGTTAAGATGAGCACAAGGGCCACTTCAGCTGTACTGGACAAACACCACGAAGAAAGATCAGGTGTCACCCTTGGTGAGGGCTCAGAGCAGCTGGGGCTGAGCTTCTCCCAGCCTGTCAGTGCATGTTGGATGAATCCCCACAGACACTCACAGTGAAGCGCCCGCTCTTGTTGGAGCACGCGAAGAGACGCGGGGGGTGAGCGTCCATCTTCTTGTCCTTGAGCCTGGGAGAGGTGCGGTACGGGGCTTTGCCACCCAAGGCTGCCCAGAAATTGTCTGGAAAACAGAGGGAGGGAGACTGATGCTTCACCTGTTCATGGAACCCACATCAGGGTTATGGTTTGGGTAGGACTTGAAGCTCTCTTCTGGCTCAGAAAGTCCCAAGGGTGTAAAGACACGAGAGCGCTGTTAAACACAATGAAAATATCCCGGAGAAGCCCTCTGTGCCCATGTCCACATCTCATTCTGGGAGACAAAATACCCATGAAATAATTGCTGAGGATGTGCAGCCACAGAAATGATGCCAGACTCCACTGTGACCCCTCACCTGGCTCTCTGCCCTCAGCAACCTGTACTGGGCGAGTTCCTCCCAGTATCTTCAGCAGCTCCTGTGCTCCTGATTTCTCAGCGTTGCTGGCTCCTTGGCCAACCCACAGGTAGGCAGCAGAGGGAGTTTTCAGGACAAAGGCATCATTGGAGTTCAGCTGACTGGCAGTAGGATCCAGCTGAAAAGAAGGAACATTGCAGGTGTCAGATGTAACCACCCTCAACACAGAGCCTGTTATTTCAAAATCAAACCAGAACCTGTAGTTGAATAAACCACAAAAAAATTACCCTATATGAGTGTGTAAGGCTGTCAGATGTGTTATATATTCACGGTATCCCAGTTTGATTTTCCACATGGGATGAGTAAATAACTGTTTCACTGTGTGATTACAGGTACACAGGACCTGCAGCAGGAACTCCTGGCTGTTATTGTGCCAATCCTGATGGTTATGGCAGGAGATTTAGGAACTCACGGGGAGCCCATGGCAGAGCAGTCCCTGCTGCCAAGGCTGATCAATCATTAACCCCAGCTCCTCTGTGTCAACAAGGACAGGCCTGTAGAAGCTGGAAATTGCAGCCATAAACCTCTGCCCACCCCTCACCTGTACCTATTCTAGCATTTCATCTCCCCTTTGATGTTGCACAGAGGGGTTCGTGTGCATTTTCTTTCAGAGCAGTGGGGCTCTGAACCCGTGTCCTGGCCCAGGTTCCATTTCCACACGGGGAATTCAGCTATTCCAAGGCTGGCTCTCCCTGCACGTACCTCCACTGCTCTGGTGGCTCCGGAGGTGCTGGAGCGGACCTGGAACAGCCGCGTTGCTGCAGGTGCTGTCTGGCCTCCTTCCCTCGACGTTCCACCCTTGTAAACAATCAAGGGCTTTCCACCAAACATGCTCATCAGGTGAGGGGGCTCTTTCCCTTGCACCACTCGTTTCTGGAGAAAAGAAACTTGCTCAGTTTTGAGCAGCACAAGACTAACCAGAGGCCTTTACAGCCCTCTGCCGAGCTGGAATATTCACACAGCACCCAGCTGAGGGCAGGATTTTATTATATTCTTTATTCCCCCAGTGTTGGGGTCTGGCTGCTGCTGGGTTGTGTTTGTTTCTTTACCTGCACGGGGCTGCCTCCCAGCTCCTCATCCAGCTGCACTGTGAGGAATGCAGAGGTTGCGATTTCATCTTGYGTGGAGTCAGCGCCCTGCCTGGAAAACAAGGACAAATCCCAGCTTTATTCTCAGCCTTTCCCCCCCTACACACACACACACCTTACAGAGATCAAGAGGAGGTGAGGAAATCCTGTGTTACCAAATCTCTTTAGCACTACATTCAACACAAAGGAGAAATCCTTTATCCTCTGTTGTAGCACAGCGAGTACAGGGGGAGATAAGAACCTTTCCCAGATAAGCAGCATTTTCCTAGATAAGCAGAGCTTGAGCCAAAGAAGGGAGTAACTACCAGTGGGGGGAGAAAGGAAAAAAAAAAGCTCACACAGTAATTCCCTCCATTGTTCCACTTCAAATGAAACATCCCAGACCTCTGGTATTGTTTTGTTGTGAGGGAAAACTATCCAGGGTGAAATTTTATCCCCTAAGGTTCCTCTGTAAGGGGGAACCAGCAGTGACYGATTTCTCAAGTGGACTCTCAGCCCAACACAGCCCCAGTTTCCTCACTTACCCCAAGGAAGTTCCTTACCAGGTGTAGATGATCTGTCCCCGCTTCCCGTCGTGCTGRTAATCGTACAGGATGATGTAGCTGTCCCCTCCGTAGAACTGCCCGTACGTGGCGGGGTCCACCGGCACCTTCTCGGAGCCCTCTATTCTCCAGATCTGCAGGAGAGGAGCGGARGCGCTGCCGAACGAGCCCGTTCCCCGCCCGCCTTCTCCAACTCCGCATCCCCGAGCTGGCGGTGCTGCCGCTCCCCCTGCCGGGATCTGACAGCACAGCTCCCACCCGCTCCACCGCCYGTCCCGAGCGCAGCTTTGAGGCTTTTCGGGGCATTTTTAAACAGCCAGAACCTCTGTAGGCTTCAGCACAGCCCATAGCACGCTCAAGCTCACCTTCACTTCTGCCTCAGTGCTCAAAGTCATGAATCCATGTCCTCCAAGACATTCGCCCCTTACAGGTGTGATGGCCATGGGGAGAATAACCAGGAGGAGGAGGAGAAATAAGGAAGCAGTCCATAGGAAACTGGGGACTCAGAACCAACCCCACTCATCTGCAGGCTTCCAAGACCCTGCTGCTGTTTCTGCTGTCAGAAATTCCCCCAGCAGTTACAACCCTCAGTGTTGGTGGCTCTCTGACCTCCCTTTTCTCGCTGCTCTTGCAGGAATGCTCTTGCAGGAAAGTAGCAAAGAAAAGTTGGGAACGTTCCCAAAGGGATGGTGCCACCACTGACCTGTTTCTTGCCAGAGCCATCATCCTCCATGCCGTGCTGGGCAGCCATGGCCTTGGAGCTGTGCAGGGTGGCYGCGTCGAAAGGGACCTGCTCGATCTTGGCAACGTGGCCAGAAACGTGAGGCTGCCCCAGCCCTTCTGTCTGRTCCTTGTCCCGCCAGTTCTTGAAGAATTGCTTGAACAAAGGTGTCTCACCACTCTCAGGGAGGACTTGGATCTGAAAGGAATGAGCTTTTAGAACCATCTCCCCAAAACCAGCAGGTTTATCCACTTCTCTTTTTCCCCTCTTTGGAGAGAATCATGGAAAAGACAGAAGAGTTTCTGAGAGGAAGAATCATTCACTCCCACCTGTGCTGGGGTAAATCTGGTTTGGCCCAGGAGCACCCCTGCAGAATCTCCCAAAACAGAGCAGATCTCCCACAACAGGAGCTCTATGAAAAGCTGGCATGGACACATCACCTGAGCCATCTGTGCTCTGCAGTGCCTGGCTCGTGTGGCAAAAAAGTGCCCCCAGTGCTTGGGGCTGGCTGCACATCCTTACCTGGGTGTGTTTGGGATAACCCATCTTGTCAATGAACTCTGAGGCTGTTTTCAGTGCTGCCTTCTTCTCTTCAGAGTTGGCACCTTTGCCTTTAATGAAAATAGAGAGAAAAGAAGGGGGTTTTTTTTACCCAGAGAAGAAACTGTCCCAGGTACCTTTTGYAAAAGTAGGAGGACCCAGCCTTCCAGCTAAATTATGGCAAATAGCAAATGACAATTGTTCGATCTCTTTCATGCCTGTTGTGATGGCTGAGAGAGAACAACTG